TATATGCTTTGTATGGTAATCCAGAATATGGATTCATGACCATGAGCAAAGTTTCAGAAACCCAGTTACTCTGCACAAGATTCTGTTTTTTGTTTTTTGTTTTTTTTAAATTCTAGTCAGCTCTGCTTCATTTTATTAATGCTACACATGTGCTACTAAATTGTTGGGTCAGGAACTACTAATAGATGAGAAGGCACAGTGATAAAACACTCTTTTAAAAAAGGAAGATCCCTTTGAAATGACAATCTAGGGAGCACAAGTGTATAGCACAGACAAGATTCATCTACCCCAGCACCTTCCTTGGAGGGTTGGAAGAAGACACCAAGAATGAAAATATAAATACATTTTAGATTTCAAAGATTCAAATTTGTTTTCCTCTGTTTTTTACATTTGATTTGTTTTTAATCTCCCAATCTCTCTCCCGTGAGAAATTTAAAAGCTAGCAACTTGAACGAAGGCTACATATAGAAAAGCAGATTTGGAATGCTATGCATTGTATGGAGAGTGAACATTTAAATTTATTAACAAGGCAGCATGTGGAAGCCGTTTCCATTTCCTATAAATGCTATTTCAAATCACAGCAGGCATAGAAAACAGTTCATATTCAAAGAGATGTTGGATTTTTATGTAATGAGATGCTGTGAAAAACAAAATAATATGAATACATAGATAAATATTTGCAGGGTGCCTGGGTATTTTGATACATGCTCCACAAATGTTTTTCCTTCTTTTGTGGTCTGGAAGCTTCTGAAGAAAGTCTTGCACTCAATCTGTCTTCCTGTTACACTTGCCTGTTTGTCCTAAGTTTCCAAGATTTTCTCACTCTATATTGATATCTTTACACTTTTCATTTTTCACTGTAAGTTCTGCTGCTTTTGTTCCAACTATCTTAATGGTGTCTTATTTAGCCGTCCTCCTCCACCATGTCTTCTCTGACAAGGTGTTCTACTGTAATCATTCTGGAAGGCTCTTGGACAGCTAGTCTCTCTTCCAGCCCACACTCCATGGAACTGCTGTCAAGTCAGGAGCTACCAAGGGTGATTTACAAGGGGCAGTCACCAAGGGGTACCAGAGAATGAAAACGGGGCCTCTTCCAGAACACTGGAAGCCAGACTTTCGAGAAAAAAAAAAAAAAAGGTGCCTAGACCCTAGTGACATTAATTGAAGAGCTGAATGAGACTTTCCTGGAACCCACCACTTGCATTGAAATTTGCAACACTTTTCAAACATTTTAAATAAATTATGTTGTTATTTATCCAGTTTGAATTCAAACTGCCAACTTAAAGATTTCTATTCATTTATTCTGCAGTACTGGGGATCAAACCAAGGAACATTCTACCTCTAAGTTATAGCCCCAGCTCTTTTAACTTATATTTTTATTTGACTTAGGGTCTAAGTTGCCCAGGTGGATCTTGAATCTGTGATCCTCCTATCTCAGCCTCCAGAGGTTGAGGGATCAGAGGATATGCACCACTATGTGTGGCTGTCAAGTTAAAGAGTTTTAAACTAATATTCTTATAATCCTCTGTCTTGTCTATTAATGGACGTAGCTCCTTTCAGCCCCATAACATAAACTTTTCTAACTTGGGTGAATGAAACAAAAATCCACTTACTGCAAATCAAACCTGAAAATTTTAATGATAATAACAAAATAATGATGTGGGGATCAGAGGGGATAATTCAGTGGTAGAGCACTTGCTTAGAAAGTATGAGGTCCTCCGCCCAATCCCCAACACAGCAAAAGAAACAAATAAGACAATGATCATATCAACAATAGTTGCTAGTACTGAGTTTTTAGTGAGTGGTTATTAAATACTACCATAATTTAAGTAGGGATGCTCAAATTTTGCTGCAAATTTGTTTTCTAAAATCCTGATATCCATGCCACATCTGTATCAGTTAGATTAATGTGGTACTCTGGAAGTGGGAAACAGGCAAGAGAAGCTTTTAAAGTTTCTCGGGTGATTCCATGAGCAATTAAATTTGAGAACTCCTGTGCGAGAGATTTGTTAATGAATTATTTCATTTGTTCCTTACAGCAATCATATAAAGAACTTATTATTATCATCATCATTGGACCTATGAGGAAGAAGTCTGATGCTCAGCAAAGCCACAAGGGTAATATTCAACAGAACCAGGCTCTGAAAATGTTAGAGTGAGGCTCTTAAACACCAGAAAGGAGGAGGTAAGGAAGAAAGCCATAGGCAGGTATAATGCACAGAGGAAGCACTTCCCCTTCCCCCCTCAAAGAAAGTATTAACTGAAACACCAAAGCCAGGGTATTCTGGGTGTTAAAAGTGCATCATGGAGAGAAACATTTTAGGATCTAATAATGGTTCATCAGATTAGCAGAGCACAGGTGCTACTTCTGTTCATTTATCAACATTCAATAGACATTTATCAAACTGCATCCATAAATGAAACACTTAACTAATAAGCTAGCTGTGAACTGCAATAAGAGAGACAGATTCCAGCCTGGAACTCTCCATGTGCCAATACAATTGACTTTGACTCCTGATGCCTGAGACAAAGAAGGCTCTGATGTTCTTCAGACAACTGTCTTTAGCCAATGTTGATACTGAAATCTCAAGTTAGGCTAATAAGCTTGCATTAGAAGACCAACTTCAGAGCTTTGTTATTGATACACTGTAGTTGTTGGAACTAACAGGCTTATATAAAAGTTGGCTGGCATGTTGTTGGGAGAAGAGGAAAAGTATAGATTCTTTCTATGCTAAAAACTGTGAACAATTTTGAATCATCAACAAAGTATTAATTATGATAAGCTCGATAGAATTGAAAGATCAAAGCCGTTGAAATTCCCTATTACTAGGAGATGGATGCACATAATGAGCTAGTTTCACACTAAATACTTTAGAAGCCTTCTGAAGGAAAACAGTTTCGATTTTTCTTTCTGTAACTTTCATTTTTCACATTTTAAACTGAACCTCTTTAACCCTTTCAGCTCCAAACCTTCATCTCTGCATTTGCTCTAAGGCATTTTTATATCTCTGAAGAGAGACATCACAGGAGTGATTTTTTTATTTCCCCCTGCAAATCTGAAGCAATCAGTCATTCTGGATGTTAAAGAAACTAATTTTGACTTTTAAGAGATAAGACAAAAGTTGTAGGAAAATTCTCAAAAAGAAAGTCATCATTTTTTTTT